CCATAACTTGTCTTTTTGATTCGCTACATTCTCACCTCTCTCTATCGCCCTTTTGCATCCTCTCTCACTCTCCCTATTCTTCTCATATGTTTTTCTCAAGAAACTTCTCTGGCCGTTTTTTGTTGGAAACAAACGATTTTCGACATTTGTGCGCTAATTGAAGTGCAGAAAGGCGCAAAAGCGAAGAAAACCCAGTGAAGGCAAAAACAAGGGGTAGGAGACGAACGCCGCCAGTTTGGACCGTCTACGCTGACCACTGGTCCTGTAAAGACATGACACAACATTGCAAAAGGACCAGTTGGCTGCAAAAGCTACTTGGAGGTCCTGGCCGAACAGACGCAATTCCCATTGGGATCGTTGTGTTGGCCCAGGGGCCGCGCCGTGCTAGTACGGCGCTTTCTTGGCGCTGTCTCAGTGCCAGCGCAGGTGGCAACTTTGGCAACATTGGACCGAGCCTAAATTTCGTGGAAGCCACTGATAATTGGAAAATTGTGAGTTTGGCAAGCGAGTACAGAACTTGTATAATCCAATTGCCCGTGAGGACTGGAGATGTGGGCTACCGACGCGATATAGGTTATATACAAGGGATATTGAGCAAACCTCCTCTAGACGTCTTTTTATAAACTTCTGAAGACAATTTTGGCTACAACGTACTGTGCAATATGTGTCAGTAAATGACTGTTGTGCCGAAACCAGGTTTCTTGGTGGATGTTTATTCGACCGACGTTTCGACGTGCTCGTCTTTTCCAAGAGGTCTGAGCGTACTGGTCAGATTCAAAAACCTATAATCTACGTCCAGACCTCTTGAAAAGGACGAGCACGTCGAAACGTCGGTCGAATAAACATCCACCAAGAAACCTGGTTTCGGCACAACAATCATTTACTGACACATATCAAAATGCCCAGGTTCAAAGATAAGAGAGCTTTTGATCTACGTACTGTGCAATACTTGAGGCGACGTGGACGTTGATAGGAAAATGCATGAGCGCGTGAGACCGCTTATAGTGCCTCGCGACAGCTGCGCGCTGGTGTTAAAGGCGCGGTGCGGGCAATTGGGTGCTACAAGGTCTGTATGGTGGAAGGATCAGTGTTGGAACCCGCACTACAGTCGACATAAAATTCATAATGTTGTTGTTTTTTTCAACTTCAACAAATTGCAGTTATATGTATCTATGTTGCAAACTGCTTATAACAACTTGCGTCTTACTTATCTCTGATTCTACCCTTACAAACAAGAGTGCGAGCTCTACCAGATGTTTCTTATCCCAAACACGCAAAAAAACTTCCATGTTGACTCCTCTCCTCTGCACATCTCACTTCAGTCACTCCTCTCTACTGTTACAAAAGACTCATTTGGTCGCTACAGCTCGAGTAGCTGTAGCGACCAAATGATTCTTTGTTTTCTCCATCAAGAATATTTCAACTCGAAATTTGTCAGGTGTGTTTAAGGCTTGGGGAGTTGGTTTGGGGGATGTCTAGCTAAAATTCTTGCTTGAACCGCACCGATTATCCCTGAGCGATAGCAATCCCCACTGCTAATCATCTGGCATCCCAACTCACATACAGTGAGCGCCAAAAAGTTGCGGACAAGTTGCCCTCCATTTTTCAGCGTTCATTTTCGGATGAAAAACGAGGATGAAAATATGATTGGATTGAATGAGGTGATAGAGCTCTTCAAGAGCTACAATCCAAACATTGCGCTTTCTGGAAAACATGTATTCTAAAATTTCTAAAAATCTTTTTCTAGAAAAAGTCCAAAAATGGCCGCGTCACAATTTCGCGGACAATAATTTTTCGAACGCGAAGATTTCCTTTTAGGTCTTTTTTTAGAGCAAAACAGAAGTTTTCCGAACAGGTAAGCATACTATATCGTAGAGCTCGTCGAGGACAACAATCAGATAGTGGTTACTTTCAGAAAAAAACGCAAGTATGAATTTCGTTTTGCATTTTCAAAAAATTAAATTCTATTTTTCACTTTCAAAACAAATTTTTTCAAATGGAAACCTATTCAAGGCATCCCAACAAAGCTGTTCGGATAAAGTGGATGCTCTTTACCCGTCTCTATGCATCGGACGTGTGTTGGTGAGTTTCTTGGTGAAAATGACTCCTGAAAATGCGTGCCCATGACCCTACCTGCGCCTCACACTTGCAGGCTTGTAGCTCAGCCGTCAGGCAATCTACGAGGCTGTACTTAGGCTCATTCGAAAGGGCGTGACTTCCTCGACACGATGGTAAGCAAATAAGTTCAGTTTGAGCGATACCAGAGATTTGGCGGATGGGGTGGAAGAGGGCAGCCTTAGAGGTAGTTGGAGTGAAGGCTCTTCTGAACAGCAGAGCAGTCCTAGAGCTTCGAAATGGATCTATTAAATAAAACTTGACAGTTTTGAACTTCCAGGATGAAATTGGTAGCGAAAGGAGCTCTCCTCAACTTTAGCTGAAAAGGGGTGGAGGAACGAACACCTCAATTAGGCACCGCCTCCGCGAACTAGATCCTAACACGATGCACAACAGTAGGACGAAAAGGACCAGCAGCCCGTGGAGGCGGTGCCTAATTGAGGCGTTCGTTCCTCTACCCGCTAAAAAGTGCTTAGGCTTCAACTGAAGCTGCCCTCTTCCACCCCATCCGCCAAATCTCTGGAATTGCCCAAACTAAACTTATTTGCATACCGTCGTGTCGAGGAAGTCATGTCCTTTCGAATGAGCCTAAATATAGGCTCTAGATTGCCTGGCGGCTGAGCTACAAGCCTGCAAAGCGGTACAAGTCAGTGGTGAGGCGCAGTAGGGTCATGTGCGCGCATTGTCAGGAGTCATTTTCAGCCAAGAAACTCATTAGCATACGTCCGATGCATGGGGAATGGTGAAGAGCATCTACTTTATCTTTACAGCTTTGTTGGGATGCCTTGAGTAAGTTTCCATATGAAGAAATTCGCTTTGAAAGAGAAAAATAGAAGTTAATTTTTTTAAGCAAAACAAAATTCAAACTTTCGTTTTTTGGAAGTAACCACTACCTGATTGTTGTCTTCGATGAGCTCCATGATTTAGTATGCTTACCTGTTCGGAAAACTTATATTTGCTTCAAAAAAAGACCTAAAAGAAAATTTTCGCGTTCGAAGAATTATTGTCCGCGACATTGTGACGCGGCAGTTTTCGGACTTTTTCTAGAAAAAAGATTTTTAAAATTTTTAGAAAACATGTTTTCCAGAAAACGCCATGTGTGTGTTAGCTCTCGAAGAGCTCTATCACCTCATGCAATCCAATCATTTTATCCTGGTTTTCCATCCGAAAATGAACGCTGAAAAAAGGAGGGCAACTGTCCGCAACTTTTTGGCGGTCACTGTATGCAGGCGTATAATTCACTCGCATTTGGTCGTATTTTTCTCTTTTGTGATGAACATATTATCCCGTATGAGTAGGTTCATTTGCTCATCCGTCATCGCAGTACAGACATTTTCTTGCTCTTTATCAAGGAAGACTAGCACCATACTAACAGTATTTCATAGATTAAATGGTACACCTTGAGTGTAATAATAAAATTTTTTGTCAAATCAGGTCTACGGGCTGCAGACAAAGTTCGCGGACGATACCGTAAGGCTATAAACCGGCACTGAGGAAGTTTTCTGGGTATGTAATGTTTTAGCTCCAAATGAAAAGTGGGCACGGATCCAACATCGCACGAGTGCGATCCGTAACCTTGAACCAGAGGCGAGTCAGTCGGGAGTGGAGGACTTATGCCCTAAGGGGAGAGCCTCTCTCACTTGTGGCTCATTAGCAAGTGAGAGTTCGCCGGTACAGATGAGATCATGGGCTCAAGCAGCGACTCTGGTATCAGTGTTGGGGGGAACTGCTCCACTCGCCCAAATTCCGAGCGAAGAACTGAAGAACGCCTGTTCTTGCCGCTCACGCTTGAAAGCTGAATTTTCGGATCCGACGTAGCGGATAGGCCTAGGTAAGCGAAGAAGCTAAAAGTGAGTGCCCGGACACTGCCCTCGAGTAGCGAGATTCTCCCCCATACTTTCAAAATCGATTGATTGATTGAGAGCTTCTGACAGAAAAGTCTTTGAAAAAGGAAATAAGACTGTGAAAGCTCCATTAGTGTCTTGCGTCGGCAGTGGACGCAAATTTACCAATCCTACCTATCAGGCACACAACTTTTGAAGCACAACACAACAATTTCACTTGATATCTCTCAAAAAGAATCTTGGTTACGATACGCTTAGCTCGCATTTCTCATATCATATTATGCTCTTAGCTCTTACTAGTTTCTACTTACTCTAGAAATATAGCACGAGTTAGAAGGAAATGTTTTTTATTTTGTTTCAAATGGGGGCCTTATCACTTATGTGAAGACAATATTGTAAATTTTTGTTTTTCTGCATATTTTCGTTAAATACTCGAAACCTGACTATTATTGCATTCACTAGCTTCGGTATAATGCACTGTACAGCGCAAAATCGACTAGACTCTCAGGCGTTTATTGAAACAGATAGATATCTACATCGGGAATGTTTGAGTTTTTGCAAATCTGGATATACTGAGAACAAAGCCCGATTTCGAGGTGGATTCTCATTAGTACAAGTAGCAAATGAGTAAAACTCACCAATGTGATGCAAATCAAGCTCCCATGTTAACTGATGATTTTTACCGTAATCAATTGGTTTAATCCGCATACGCCGCCTTGCTTTTCAAAGGACTGCTTGTATTTATTACATTAGCAAAGCCTTGAAGGATGCTGCAAACTTCCACATACGGTTACTTCAAAAAATTTTGACTTGTATTTTTGGCATTATTTGAAACAACAAAATTATTTTGACCTTTTTCTCCAGAAAAAGCGCGCTTATCTTGCTGTCTGATTTGCAGTGCTCTTTTGATATTTCTTACCTTTCTTATGGATCCAGTAATTTCTCCGCAAAAAAGCAATACACCAGCTTAGCTCAAGAGTTGATAGTGGTACATTTTCAAATTATTGAGCATACTCTGATGTCTTTAGATTCTTTATTTGAGTCAACTTCATTACTATAGCGTAAGCAAAGAATCATCGCAGATTAATACAAAAAGTCCCGTTAACTGAGGTAGAAACATCACACACAGTGTCATCAACCACCAACACTATCAATTACTAGAGTTCAAACTGTTACATTGCTAAAAATTATACATTTGATAGCCTAATCTGCTACAAAGTTATTTAGTGGAAGCTCCAGTTCTTGCGGGCTGCATTGGCTTGGACGAGGAAGGTGATGAGACTAAAAAGACATTGTGATAAGTAGATCTGTAGTATACCTAAAAAGGTGCGAAAGGCCCATACCTAGCTATGGCAGTAAGACCGGAAGGAATGATCTTTCTCTTCTTCATGGCCAAGTATTTCTTCAACATTGTCCAGCCCAGATATCCAGCGACAGCTAAAATTCAAATATCAGTTTTGATTATTTCCCGAAGGTTATTTCCGTCAAATTTTTTTTCGGTTTTAATATTTCTATAACATGGTAGACAACTCTCAAAAGCGTAAGGTTGAATTCATAAAACAATGCAGAACTCGCAGCAAAAAGGTTTTTTTGCTTTTTTGTTACATTTTTTAAACATCATTTTTTCAGCCCATTTGAGTACGCCTAGTAGCTTTTAGCTTTTATAGTGCTCTTGCGTTGAGCAAAACTTGCAAGTGAATAGGTCATATAGCGCAGATTTTGAATGCTGCGACCGGAAGCCATACTTACGCGCAAACGTTGTCAGCACCGCAACAACACAAATTATGCTTGGAATCTATGACATACTATACAGTGGAAAAAAAATTCAAAAAGGACAAAGCTACACTAAGCATGTCCTAGATGACATTTGTATTGTTTTATCCTCAATACCATGACCTACATAGGCATACAGGATGTCCCAAAAAATGTATCGAACGTTTGATCGTTAATATCTCCCTTCCCAAGAAGTCTTTTACTTTGCTTCAGGTACCGTTTTGTAGAGCTGGCTTCAACTTAGATTCGCATTATAAAATGAATCACCCATCTCTCTTCATTACTGTAGGATTACGGTAGAAACTTGAAACATATGGTGTCAATGTGGAAAAAGCTGCCTTTTCAAAAATTTTCAAAAAAATGTGAGATATGTAATAGGGTTTTTATGGACGCTGAGTTCAACACTCAACTATTCACAAGATTACGAAGCTTTCTAAACGGCTTAATCGCATTTTTTAAGAACATTGAAAAAATGGCCGCTACGTCTTACCTGGCATAACTCTCCAATGAAGCATAATAACAAGTTGGGAACTTTGTAGTTATAATCAGCAACTCTAATTAGCCTAGTGTAATTCAGGCAGTTTTGTTTCTTTTCTGAGGCAAGATATGGCCTTTCATTGCTTAAACCCCTTTTTGAAGTTTACCGTAATCCTACAGTAATGAAGAGAGATGGGTGATTCGTTTTATAATGCAAACCTAAGTAGAAGCTAGCTCTACAAAACGGTACCTGAAGCAAGGTAAAAGACTTCTTGGGAAGAGAGATATTAACGATCAAACGTTCGATACATTTTTTTGGGACACCCTGTATATAGTGTAGAGATTTATTACTTCTCATGCATAACCTTTGATTCGATTGGCGGCTGGAGGGTGGGGCTTTGTGACCTAGTTTAAACCGTTCGCGCTCGCGACGCAGTCTGCGTCTCTCTCTCGCGCACTCTCGCTCGCGTTAATTAGGTTCCGAAGCCTCGCCCTCCAGCCGCCAATACAGTTGAATCAAGGGGTATATCTTCCCATGTTTTCAAGCAACATGATCGAATGTAATGAATGGCCGCTATCAAACAACTTCTGGTACTGAATAACTTCAAACTCACAGAGAACTCCAATAGCTTTGTAAGGTAGCTTATAATATGTACATGCTGTCACGGCAGCTCCACTAAGGAGGCTCTGGATAAGGCCAGATGTATTCTCTGCAATATTAAATGTTTATTTTTATTTCTCAAAATGCATGCAAGCTGTAATAAAGAAGTTACTGTACTTACTAGTCTGTAAATAATTTGAAAGACCTCCAGCGACAAGTAATCCAGCATACCACGGATTCACTTGTGAGGGTACAATTGAAGCGATTGTAGACAGCGTTGTAGCAAGCGACGGAGCCATTTTTGTAAATCGCAAATTTATATCCGCTTTTCGTTTAATGGGATTGAGCGGAAGATGTGGAGAAACACTTCCGATGCAGATGCTGATGAGCGTATTTGTTCCGTAACGTGATTGACACTAAACAATAAGTTTGTGAGCCAAGGTCAATGCAATGATTTATTTATGAGACTAAGCGTATAAATGTGAGACAGAATGAGGGTGGGCAACGATTGATGCACTGGAATTATTAACCAACAATGACTGCTCATTCATCAACAGATGTTTTTTATTGAAGATGGATTGAAAGGATGGCGAGAGCAGGTCTCGCAATGAATTCATACTTTTATGAGATGGTATGTGTGGTCAGGAAAATCCAGTGTTTGGTAGTCCGGAAAAGTCACATATTTCTCAAGAAGATTTCTTTAGTGTTTTGTCGTCCAAAAAGTCTGAGAATCTTAATCGAAAGAATTACGATGCCTAGCAGACGCACAGGCTCAAAAAACCTACCTGAACCTGGAAATTCTCGCCCCTGCATAGAAAAAAAAACCTGCCACCACTGTGAAAGGTAACGAAAAAATTCATATGCTAATGATTTTACGTGATAGCGTATGCCCACTTTCCTCCTCCCTTCATCGTGAAGTCACAAAATTTTTGAAGTGCCCTACATGATTTATATGAACATGCAAATGACTTCTATCTACTAGCAAGCAATTCTGAGAATTTTATATTTATTAACAGTTCGAATTACCTTTCTCTGGAAACAAATCAAGGTAAACCACGCCCCTTTTTTAAAATTTTTGGGGTTGTAGGCCCGCCAAAATTCAAAAAAAAACAGCCCCTTCACTCGAGAAAATTTCTGTCTTCAAGAAAAAAAATTTTCTTGAGCACCAGTGAATTCTAGTGATTTTTTGGAACTATAAAAAAAAACTAAATAAAGTATTTTGGGACATCTACTCCACTCATGATAGTTAGTATGACTGATATTATTGCAAAGGAACCCTGTTGCGTCTTAATTTCTTGCTGGACGGTGTAAAAATGGAGCTAAAATTTTATGAAGCCAATATAACAATTCCAGATATTATTGAAAAGGTCATCCATGGCATTCATACATGTATAACAACAAAGTTGCGTATGTCAAACTTCAGCAGAAGAAAGAATTGTCAATAGAAAGCTGTCTACAGGGGTCTCACAGAAAAGTACCAAAAGGAAGTAACTTAGCGACTGTAGGGAAATAATGTGAGTTTTATAGGGCATCATTCCCTTTGCAGGAGAAAAGCGTGATCAAACTTAAATTACTACTTTACTTTATAGAGATAACTCTCAGATGTTATGAAATTATGACTACATTTCCATGGCGACTCAAGAGAACAGGATGAGAAAAGAGTAAAGGCCTTTCGTTTTCTCTTAGCCTACATAGCAATCGGTATCTACAAAGCAAAAATGTCTCAAACTGAAGCAGACTAGACGCCGGCGCTGATGAAACTAGTGGAACATATCGACCCGCATCTGTGTGGCACCGAGAGTAAACAACCTCCGATGTTGTTGTGGTTATCCGATGCGTGGTCTATGATCACTAAACAATTGAGCGCGTTTACACACATGTCTCAAAATTCCATCGGGTTGTTTCAGAAGTTCTACTCGTTTTTTTACCTCCTTTTTAACTTGCTGATTTTGAAGGAAAACTACATTTTTGTGAAACTTACTTAAACTATCTAAAAGCTCCTTCTTTCTGATTTTTTATTCTCAACTTTATAGAGCTCTTCCTCCGGATTTGTCTTTAAAAGGACAGCGAGGCATGTATGTCGTTCTCTTTGTTCAATCTCCATGAATTTGACAGGCAAAAGATAAATTTCTGAATATGTTTATCATTATATGGGGAATAGCACAATATTATCTAGATATAATTTTGGAAATTATTAGAACCTAAAAATTTCAGCATAAATATGACATATAGATGGAGTCCTCGTAAGTCGCATAAGTCGTAGAAGTTTCGTTATGGATGCAAGACGGCGCTTAGCACTTCATGTTCAAAAAAAAAAATGAAAAAAAAACTTCATTTCTCGGCAGCTGAAAATAAAAAATCTAAAAAAAGTGCATTCTTCTGCAATTTTAACGACAGTGATTTTGAGAAAACTTTGATTTCTTGCAAAACTGTCTTTTGTTGAAGAATTTGGTTTAGCTCTGAGGGCTTTGCGAAAATTTGAGAAGCGACTGGATGAAATGATCTTTGTCTCCTCGTGAATTTGTCCTATGTCATAGTCGAGAACATGAAATGCTATGAAAAAGTCTAAACCGTGAAAATATGAAAATCTTTATATTTCAATTCGTGCCTCTATCATAGAGCCATTTTACATCAAACCATCTTTATTCAAGCAATCAAAATGCCACTCTTGTCACAAACTTGCAACGTCAGCTTGATCATAGACATTGCTGCTATACGAAAGCGTCAAAAACTGCCACATGTTTTGATTTTAGCATACGTTAATTGGTTCTCTACAAAGAAAAAAATCTTGTGTGCTATGTCCTTAAATTCTAAATTACTGGTAAGCCATGTAACTCAATTTTATGATTAGATGAAATAGTTTTACAGATGGTACGAATCTTTTTTATCAACGGGATGTGATGACACCGCCTCCTTGCAAAAGATATGAAGAAATCATTAAAAAACAGTATCTAACCTCACCATCAAGATTTTGAAGCGAGAAGGAAGAGAAGCGAAGGACAGAAGTATACTTTGAAAACGAATAAATGTATATGATTGATGAAAACGAATAATAGAATATGATTGATGCACCTTTCAAAGTTTTTGAAAATCACTCTCACCTAAACCGACGCGAACCAGTTTAGATCGCTAGATAACCTTCCTGCACGAATTTGCAAATATTACCGCACCCGAACTTCTTTTTATTATAGAATAAATTTAGCTAGCAGAATTTTAATCGCGAGACAGTTACATGCAAAAAAGAAATTGCGGTGAGCAAAGTAAGATATGGTAATGCTCATGGATAGATCAAACGACATGAAAACGTTCTGTTGCCAATATTTAGCTTCTTATTTTTTTTTTGCGTTTATTGGCATGCTTGATCAATCTTTCAAAAGGCGATCCATCATCGGTCGATGAAACCATTCAGAGGAACCCAACAGAGAAGTCAGTCCAGAATGTTAAGAATACAATGAACCATTGTTTTCGTTATTAATTTCATTCGTTCATATCTTCTGCACTTTTGTTATGAAGATGTTTGATGCTTCACAGTATTGACCACAAGCGCCCAACATACGTCTACCGTGTGAGGGCTTTTCTACTCACTGTGCACTCAAGATGATCTCCAACACATCGCTTCAATGTTTGGTAATATGTTCTGAAGTATTTAAACCTAGCTACAATCTGTATCAACCACGTGCTCCTCTATCCGTAGCAACTACGCATCCGCAGCGCGTGAAATCGCGCAGCGATCTTCGATTGATTCGAACGCGCCGCGTGGCGTTGCGTATGAGCTGATTGCAAAAAGCACATCGGTTGACACAGACTGTAGGTTATTGGGGTAAGGAAAACGAGGGGGAAAGGACCAGGAAGAAGGTGACCAGGGTACCATGACTGTATCCGAATAGACGCTCGGTCCCTGCACTCGTAATCCCATCTTTTTAGCCGTCTTCTGCTGATGAAAATAATGAGGTGTTTTAAGTCACATGGCTATTAGAATAAAGGAGATCAGTCCAGAAGTATACCGTGCCTTTTTCTACAAAGCTATATGGTATTTCGAGTTATCCAACAAACGGAGGTAAAATTACCTTGCATACAAAAGCAAATGCTCAGACAATCTCCGGGGGCAGGCGGGCGCCGGAGAATACGCGTTGCTGACATTTCGCATTCCGCTCGCAAATTCCAGGAAAATCTTCAGCGAGTTTTTGAGAGACCGCCATTTTTTTTCGCTCTTATCCTTCGCAGATATATTGCTGAATCTCTGAGGAATCGAGAACTCAGCAAGCGGCGTCCCGAAAAGTCCTGATTGCTTTCCAAAAAATCGGCGAGCGGGGTGCAAGAAATCAGCCATCTATTTTTCCGGTGCCCGCTTGCCCCCGGCGATTGTCTGAGTGGATGCAAACTCAAGGGTAGGTGATGACCCCAGAAAGCGATTAACTCGTACTCACTTTACGTCAAGGATAAAATATCTTAAGGCAAGTTTTACCCTAGAGGTTTGTAGATGAATACGGCCTCAACTGTGTTGATGATCGCCTGATGGCGAAGTATAAATTTCTACTTGCACGATCAAAGCAGAGCTCAGTGTGATAACTTCTGTGGGTAAAACCAAAATCACGATTTATTAGAGGTCGATCACACATTTAGTAGTGAGTGGGTAAAAATTCTTATAACAACTTACGTGCTCAGAGGTAAAATGCCTAGAAGATCAATCAAACGTATACAAGCTCAACTTACATGGTTAGAGGTACAAATGCTCACCAGATGTTAATAACAATTAAATAAACTGAAATCAATTGAGTCTTCCTGTTACACGCATGTGATTGAGTTGCACGAGCAAAGTGGCAATGCTAAAGGGCATATTCTCTATGATTCATATGAGGTAAAAGCAAAACGGAAAATATATTACCTCGCCACTGCGGTGATCCCGGCTGGCATGATCTTGCCGGAGTTGGCGAATCTTGTGCACATAACATAAGACAAGACCCCAGATACAGCTAAATGTTCATTATATAATTGATACAGTATGCAGCGAACTAAACAAAGGGAAACGCCCCGAGTACACCATAAATATGCTTCACAATCAGACCTTCTAGGGGAACTGAGCCCAAGTGCTCCTAAAATTGTGAGGGCAACAGAACACCTAAACTCGACTTGTGAACTGTTGAATGAACGGGGTAAGAGTCATTATCCAATTACTCTGAGGGCAAATTGAGCGGAGACTGGAGAACTTCTACGGAACCCACTCAGCATTTCTCAAGCCCAAATTTCCAAGGTTTCCATAGATTCTAGACCACTAGCTTGAAATAAGCAAGAAAGGATATAAATCTGCACTGGCAAAATGCAAAGAGGTACATTATCAACAAAAGTGCCTTCGATCGCTAATTCCAAATGCGCTGTCCGTTCCTGCAAGACAGCTCTATGAGAGAAGTGACGAGCGCTCAAAAAAACTACAGATGTTCCACTCAACATTGCAAAAATCTGCTCAACAGCACGTAATCGTAGTGGAATTGAGCTCGGTCAGACTTCGCTCGAAAGCGCCTAAAAGCGCCCATATTTCTCTAATCTCTCTTCGACTTCTGTGTGAGGAGAGATGAGAGAAAATGAAGAAAAGTTAGAGAAATTAGGGTGCTTTTGAGTGCTTTCGAGCGAAGTGTAGCCAGTGCCACTGAGTATGCTGATCGCAAGAAAAAACGCAACCACTAGAGTTCCGCAAATTAATTTGTAGGGCTTTTCGCCAAACTTATGCCATCTAAAGTTGACAAAATCAAAGCTTAAGCGCTCATAACTTCGAGAAAGTCGTTTCGCAGAAAAGTAAAGCTTATCTGGGATCAATGCTTCAGGCGATTCTGATGATATACATCACTCTCCAGTTTGCAGTGCGACTTGGTATCCTTCCCATGAACATGATCAAAAATCGATAATGTGCCTACACACTAAACTCAAGAAAGGAAGAAGCAAGCATCAAATTAGAGGTTCCTGCTGTTTTGAGCAGACTGAAAACGGAAGAAACGAAAAAGGTACGCGGAACGTCGCTCACCTGCTACGCCAAGGTGTTTGTAGGGTATATTCAGATAGGTAAATGCAGCCACAAGAGCTCCACTACCAACACCAGCGGCCAAAGATGGGACGGAACCTGAAATTGTTGAACGATAAAATTTATAAGTTGCGGATGCAGATCTCCAAATTTCTGCAGTATAACATAAATAAGAAAAAATACAGTAGGTGCACAAAAACTAAAAACAAACTCGTGATCATGAAGAATTTTTGCAACCTTAGAGTCATTATCCCTATCCATATATATGGCTGTATATATGGCTAAGTATTCAATAATCAACTGAAAAAAGACAGCGAACATCCGTACCTGCTTTCGCATATCCCATGATGCCTCCCACGGCCAACAACCCTGCATACCAAGGGTTCACTTGCTCGGGCAAAATCATGACTTTTAAAAAACACTGCAATTATTTGCAATGAAATAATTGTGAGGTTCAAAAAAACATGATCAATGCGCAAGCGGGACGAGCGCCCGTAGAATGATCGATTTTGCTTTCATTGTAACAGTGAATCACCGCAATTACGGACTGATTACTCGACGGGAAGTGGTACGGGGTGCGTTCAAAATAATGCTGTAATTCCGAAGTTCTGAAACAGTTCCAGCACAGTGCGAGAACTGTGCTGGAACTGTTCCGGAACTTTGGAATCAGTATGAGAATCAGTATGAACCCAGCCTTAGCAAGTGCTTTCCTCTTCTCAATTTTCACTCGCTTCTAAAGGGCGGCAAGGAGATTAGTTTCCAGGAAAGTTGTTGTCAGAATCCTTTGTAAATTTCAAAGAAATCATGAGGATTAAGTTGTCAAGCCCTAAAAAAATCGATGGGCAGTCAAGAGGGTGGACAAGAGAGCGTCAATTGAAGACGAACGCTACCTTATCTTATCAGTGGTCTCAGGACTGCTTGAACACTAATGTACTGTGGCGCTCCATGAGTTCCCTTTTTCTAGAAAAAAGAGGGGGGGGGGGGGAACAAGTCTCTTTGGATGAGGAAGTGGTGGCCATTAGCCATTTTCTTAATAATAAAAATACTTCCAGAACAATTTCGTGGGGGAGAAGTCATGGAAGCACTCACGTTCTCAAAGATTGTTTTACACCGTAAGCAGCAATCAAGTAGCCCATGCTAGGTTTTTGTATAAGAGCTTCCCTTGGTGCAACCGCAGTTACTTTTTAGCTGCTTGTCCACCAAAGTCATTTTCCCACATGGTGGGAAGCTGAGCTGCAATCGCTAAACAAGCTGGGAAAGTGGTTAGAGAGGTAAAAGAGGTGCAAACTCTATCGAGGCGATCGCACATCGAGATTTGAGCGGCTCGAGTCTAGGTCGCTGTAAATGGAACAGAAAGTAGTGTTTATAGGGCTGTGCCTGATCGCGAAGGTCGGTGAATTTGCGGCCATTCATGCTCTCTCATGCTCTTATGCTCTGCATTCTCTTGTGAACTTTCCCAGTTTTCCTCCTCCTTCAAACGCTTCTCCCACAATGGTCAACCTCCTCAACGTGGCGTGAGGTGACATTGGGTGTTGAACTGCAATGCACAGCCGAATGTATACTCTAGGGCCCCCAGGCAAGGAGTTCGACGTTTCCGGTTCCGACCGGATGCCTAGCTAAAAACCGGCAGGCCAGATCCCCCACCGTCTGGTTTTTCCGGTCATTAGACGGTCCTCCCCGCCCCTCACGGTCCGATTGCCCGTGGAAAGCAAAAGTAGGCCCAGTAAGTCCGCTCTTTTACGGGAACAGATTTTCATTACTCCGCCACTTAGAAGAAGAGAAAGGAACCCCGAACATCGGACCCCGCCTACGGCGCCTGGTGATAGCAAGAACTCAGAGTTTCAGGGCGCCTTTTGGATCGGTCAAAAACGACACGTCGGCACGTAAGACACGTCATGGAGACTGAACGAAGCTCTGCACCTACAACGCCAGGACCTTCAACGCTTACCTCCACGCTCCTCTCGACGCTGCAAAGCACATAAAGTACCACGTCATCGCTCTGCAGGAAACGAATTCCAGGAAGAAGGACGTGCGAAGATGAGTGATGGGACCCCCATAGCTCGTGTTGAGAAGATTTCATACGTTGGAGGCGCTGGCTTTGTCATCCACCCATCTGTCGTCCATCTTGTCAGAAGATCATCAGCATCATCAACTGCTACTCACCAACATTAGCAGCTGACGATTCAGAACTAGACGCTTTCGGCGAAGAGTGGAGGAGATCGTCCATAGCGAGAAGTCCTTTTACAAGTTTGTTGTGGGCGACTTCAACGCGAAAATCGGGATGCCACTAGAATACGATTATAGGATCGGAAAGTTTGGATATGGGCTGCGGAACGATCTCGGTCGCAAGACTTTTTCATGGAAATTCCATCTTCATGAAGAGAGAACATCGCCGGTGAACATGGGAACGAACGGAACGACTAACGCGAAATCGACCACATTCTCACCAACCGAAAGTGGAGCTTGCTCGATGTCTCAGTAGTTCCATCCTTCTGCAGTGGCTCTGATCACCGCCTCTTTCGAGCGAAGATACGATTCAGTCGAATGCTGGAAAAGAGAGACCGTCACAGTGCCGCAAGAAGGAAGGAAGTCGTTCATGGCGGTAACAGGCTGGAAGAGCTCATATCAGGTTGTGACTGGCCCATCGAGGAGGACCCAACGCACGATTATGACCGGGTTCTGAAAGGATTGCGAGCCTGTGGAGAGTGCGCCTCAGTGACCTGGAACGTATTTCGAGAACCACCAAGGAATTACTCGAAAAAGTTCCCTGAGGCAATATCCAAGTGCAACCCATCTCCAGCAACTGATAGCAAATGGCAGTTGCAGAACAGCTTTACAGAAAAATCTCAGGAAGTGCAGGCAAGGTACTGGAAGTAGCCGAAGGAAGACGAAGTCTTAAGAAGTGCCGAAGGGACCTCTGCGAATATCGTATACCGCTGACTGCCCTATTGAACGAAGACGGGACCCCAACTGTTTCCCGTTATGAGAAGGAATCTGTCGTGAAAACTTCTAAACCAACCTCTTCCCTCATCAACGCCTGTGCCGGCACCTGCTGCTCTCACTGGAGTAGTACCACCACGAATTCTACCTGCTGAAGTGCGTACCGCGATTCAGACCATGAAGACGTCAACGGCTTCAGGACCAGACCATCTTTCCATCGAATTTTCTGCGAGCCGGAGGACAACGTCTATATGAGATCCTCGCGTCGCATCTGACATCTTACCCTCAGAAGGAAAGGATTCCCGACCAGTGGAGAACGTCAAAAACTGTCCTTCCTTTCAAGACAAGTGAACGGGTGGATCTTCGAAACTACCGTCCATTATGCCTGCTGAGTGTGCTGTATAAGCTTTTCACAAAGATCATCCTCGCTCGCATATCTAAAACACTGGATGAAGCCCAACCCCAAGAATAAGCTGGATTTCGCAAAGGCTTCAGCTGCATGGACAACATTCAGACGGTTTCCAGGGTCATAGAAAACTGCCGGGAAATGTACCGACTGCCCCTCGTCCCAGCCTTCGTCAACTACGAGTAAGCCTTTGACAGCGTCGAAACCAACGCCATCCTGTCAGCGCTAGTCGATCAAGGAGTAGGCCCAGCTTATGTGAGGACGTTAGCCGATTGCTACAATGACTGTACAACGACGATACAGCTGTTCCGTCACCCTCTAAACCATCCCTATCGGAAAGTGGGTCCGACAAAGCGACGCAATCTCGCCGAAGCTGTTCACCGCGGCATGCTGAGATTGATGAAGTCACTATACTGGGACGAGAGAGGCATACCAGTTGATGGGAGATTCCTATCGAACCTTCGTTTTGCGGACGATATCGTTCTCTTCTCGAGCAGTATTACTGAAACGCTGAAGGAACTATGCGAAGTAGAGAAGAAGATCGGATTGCGAATAAATTGAAAGAAGACTCGGTCTATGAAGAACGTCCTCTGCGAAAATGCAGAATGGAATCGGAAGACACCTCTATCATGGAGACGCCTTCTTACTTGTATCTTGAACATTCGATGAACATGGAGAACGACTTGAGCGAAGAACTAAACAGGAGAAGAAGAGAAGGCTAGGCTGCCTTCGGGCCTCTGAAAGAAGCAACTGACCAACTGAAGGCCCGAAGCTTCGTGTCCACCTATTCGATTCAATCATTGTCCCGGCGCTTTGTTACGCAGCTGAGACTTGGGGCACCACTGTAGCCACGTTGAAAGCTCTACGGGCCAGCCACAGAGCGCTTGAGCGCAGTCTTCTGAAGATGAGCCGACACAAGCAACATCTTTTCGGGCTTCGCTACGGATTTTAAAAGAATGCCCGTCTTGCGAACCAGCGGAGTATGTTGCGAAAGCGAAACACCGATGGGCCGGTCACATCATGAGAAGAACAGACGATAGATGGACAAAAACATCAGAGTGAATTCCTTCAAAGCGAAACATCCCCGAGGAAGAACTCCAACGAGATGGACACACGTGTTCTTGGAAAGGATGAACCAGGAGAAATCAGCTGGATACGATTTTCGCCCCTGGAACTCGTGGACGCAGCCACCGACGACAGCCAAGAAGATCGTGGATGTCCGAAGCGAGGGACAGGGAACAATGGAAACTTCTGTACTGGGGTCGTGAGGACGGCCACCTTAGTATCTAGGTAAGTCAAAATCAGTAAGCTTTTCTGCTATCATTAGCTTTCAAGAATTCGAAGTGAGTTTGAAAGGTCTGGGAGTTATTTCACTTGTTTTGGACCTTGCATCTCGCGTGAGCGAGGTTCGCAGTCGATACGAAGTTTCTCACATAGCCCTTTATTTCTATTCAAATCGTGAACTCCTATCTGTACGTCGCTAATTCCCTTTTGCTCTGTTCGTCAGTCATGAGAATTTATTTACTTGTTCATTTACTTGCATCATTCTTCTCACCAGCTCTGTTGACGTAGCCAGGGTGATCATGAGTCAATAGTACGCATTCAATTGACTTGGTTTTGCCAAAACCGTTGCCCGTAGTAAACTTCCACCCTCAGTTGCATGGAGCTAATCGAAGCGCTTCATGAGTTGAACTTCCGACTGCACACTTACGCATGCTTTGAGATGGCAATTGGAACGGGTAAGTTCAATGTGACGTCCGTAATGTGAATAAAGGTCATACAACAATGCAAAAGCGATTCATTTTGAACCCATTATGTCAGTAAGTGAATCACGGAGATTTATGGTACCCTTAATCTCAGCTTTTGCGGCGTCGTGGATTTAACTTATGTTAGCCCAGCCCTAGCAGAGTGGTGACGGGGTAGGGGGGGGGGGGGTCTACTATGGGCAAGTGTTTCTTTCTGAATATGCTCAGAAGCCAGTCAGAGCGAGATGATTTCTCGCAATCAAGAGCAACAACCAGAAAGTGTACATCGGAGATTTATTCGTTCTACTGAGGTAGCATGAATATACAAGACGTTCAAAAGGCATTCTAGGTGAGGTAATTTCTCGCAAAGAGCAACAAATCCAAAGGTACACACCGGAAGTTTATTGGTTCTACTGAGGTAGCGTGAATATACAACACTGTACAAGTGAAATTTTTACCAACAACTTATTAAAATGGAGGTAGTTTTGCTTGCCGAAGCGGATCCAATTTGTCTATTTAGTGAAGCTTCCTGTGGATAGGATGTGGCTGAGCTGAGAGAGCAGGGTGAGGATACTGAAAGTAAGCCCTTAGAAAAAGTAAGAAAAAAATGGAAGAAAATATCTACCTTGTTGCTGCAACGATGCCCGCAACGTTCGATTTTGTGTGGATATATCGAGTTCCCATTATGTACAACATCAGTCCGGATATAGCTAAATCACAATAAAAATTTGAAAAATCAATTTTTTACGGTAGAGCATGCATGCTGAAACAGCAATTTTCGCGTGTCTTTGATTTCGAAGATTTTTTTACTTAGCACGAAAAAGGGATCGATGTTATCCTAGTTGCTTTGATTTGACCTCACCAAATGATATCCTACCGTAAGCAGAACTCGAAAGGACGTGAGTATTTTTAGGCTGTACACATTATCCAAATTTTTGTAAGAATGTTCTACCAAATAGCACGACTGAATTCTAAAACTGAGTAATCCATCAAATCCAGTTCCTCTTTCAGATCTACGGCTAGGTTTACGCCTTTATCTAGACACTCTGGAAACTTTAGTGTCAATATTCCCGTCAGGGTAACGAGAAAAATTGAGAGAACGCAAAAAGGAAGTATGTTCCAAAGACAACAGCGTTTAGGTGAAAGGGGGCAGTTGAAACTGGGAAGTAAAATAGCAGTAATTTTCGAAGAGCATAGCTAACGAAACTCCCCTTATCTAAGCCCCCCCCCCCTTACACTTGGTTTCTCAGATCGCCACTAAATGGGGACGATAAGATAATTGCTAAAGTTGTCAAAATTTCCTTACAAGAAAGCTGCAGCGAATTATTTTTCATGCCGACTACGCATCAAGAGAAGACTCTACTCCGCAAGAAATATAGGTTCCTTCGAAATAAAAATAATGTCGTCTTTTTCGAGAGTCTCAGGTAATCGGTTTCTCTAGGAGTTTGGAGCACTTACAAGGCCGAAATATCATAGTTAAAAATCCGAAAAAATTAGCATACAACTCATCTTTGATTCAACCGAATTGGCGGCTGGGACGGGGCTTCGTGACCTAGTTAAAGCTAAAGAATGGTGAGAGAGTACCAGGGCAAGAGAGACGCAACCTGCGTCGCGGGCACGAGCGGCCATAAACAAAGCCCCGCTTTCCCGCCGCCAACCCAGTTGAATCAATGGTTACGTGGGAGGAACTTATGCCCGAAAGGGAGCACTTCGCCACTTTCCGTCCTCCTTTTTTTCTTGATTTCTAATCACAAAAAATCATAGCAAGTGTATGTGTAACACAAAGCATAAAACTACCTGCAGGGGCAAGGAAAAATTTTTGAGATTTTTCAGGGCTCTGCTTTTCTGATTTTTAGCGTAATTACGCACGGATTTTGCCCTTAGACTTCGCGTTAATCATGGCTTATGCCAGTGTTTGTGAAATTCACGAATTTGCTTCACTCTACCGAATGGTACCCCATAAACCTCCTTTTAGGTTCGCCTTGTTGCTTTGTTGTGAGAAACGACATTATTTTCGCAAACTAGTATATACGAATGAGGAAATCTGATATGCTAGATAGCAAAAGTTCAAGTATCCTATATTCGTGTTCACCATTTTTATGGTCAAATTTTCAAGTTGCAGTTATCTACAATAGTGTGCAGGTATTCGTACTTACAAGGGAAGGATACCAATGGTCCAGCCATTTGTAACGAATATATGATTCACCTTGTTTTGGTAAGCTAAGCTCACATCTGCGTTTATTATCTGCTGAACGGTCTTATGAAGAAATCATATATAAGATGCTGCAAAAAAAGGTGCATACAGGACTCGTACCCGCGACCTCTTGCACATGAAACGTCAGGCTTGCCACTTTACCAAGCATCTGCTCAACTCCACTATTCATACGGTCTTCTTAGACTTCGTCTCGAAAATGATAACTTCAGAAGGCCGCTTAGCAGATAATAAATGCAAATTTGAGCTTAGCGTTTCGAGCCGAAATGGACCATAAATGTCTTGCTACAAACAGCTGGATCTATTTAGTATCCTTTCCTCATTGAAAGGGCACTTTTTTCTCTCTGAGCCCTCGTCCAGCAGTAGCGTTTGTGGTAAACCTATGTTACTGAAGTAGCTTACCAGCAACTATGAGACTTGCGAACGGCACGCTTAGTATAGTGCAAAGAAACACGATAAGTCCACAACCGGCCCCAGAAATCACGGACGGCTTCGAGTCTGGAATGATGTATATTGGAGAAAAAACAGACAATAAACCAAATATGAAGGTTCTAGAAATTTACTTGTGACCAGCCAAAAAAATTTCCAAAATATTCTCCAAAATAAAATCTATACAAATAAGACCTCAACAAAACTTACTAGCTTTCACGTATCCAATAATACCTCCAACAGCCAATAAGGCAGCATACAAAGGGTTGATTAGGGCAGGCGAAGGTAACATTTTTTCTTCAAATTCTGGAATAAAATCGATCACGTATGGTGAAAAACAGCGAGAATAACAAGGTAGTAGCGAGTAGTGAAAACACGTGCGCCGTGTTTTTACGATCAATGTTGTTTTCAAAAAGGAAGTGTCTGGACTGCGAGGGGAGGACCTGTCAAAGGAATTCAGGTACTTGAAGAAATAAAAAGGGGTCTGACAGATTATGAAACGATAAAAACTTTGCCTCTTGAGCACTGGTCTGTAAGAGTGTGCATACTGCTAGAAGAGACTGAGTGCCGTGTGAGGTGTCGCCATGATAACCAGGAACGGGAGTGAAGGGGGGGGGGGTAAAAAAATTTTGTACAGCGAGAAGCGATGATCGAATGGCCTGCGATGAGCAGAATATTTGTGTCTACCATGGATTCCCAGTCTTGAATAAACAGCTCGAAGCGCAAACAGAATGAAGCGTTCCTCGGAAGCTGCAGATCGATTCCTATTGAGGGTCTAGTAACTTGTTGTTACGATTCAGTGCTTCTCTAGAACTGCAGGATCGCAATCAACAGAGGCTCAGTGGCTCCCGAATGCAAATTTGTGCCAGAGAGTCCACTTATAGGGGATGGATACTAACAATACAACAACAATAAGTCGATCTGCCTTTTTGGATCTAGTGCATACAACTTGGTGCATTTCGATGGGCTTCAATTCTGCATTCGCTAGCTGCTGATCGCTTTTCAGGAAAATTTATGGGCGTTTTTTTTGCAGATTTTGCATAGTTCAGTATGAGAAAGTCACCTAAGTTGGTGAGAATGCCTGTTCTGTACTATGAAAATTTACAAAGAATTTTTTGCGCTTACGGGTATTTCAAACCAGATTAGTAGATTAGAATCAAAAAAGTAAAGTTCGAACTTCTCATTGGGTCCCAACTGCAAAAATAGCAAGGAAAAAAGCCCAGAATTTTTTTTCTTGGAAACTCGCAACAGCCGGCGAATTTTGAATTGGAGTCAACGCATGAAGCTACATCAAAAGATATGCACCTTATCTAGAAAGGCCGGATTGAGTTGATATCCTTCAGTTGTTAGACAACACTATCCATTAGAGGATGTCGCAGCATTTTTCGGAAATCAGATGTGAAATATTCTAGAAGCATGGCGCCATTTATTTTCTCCCCTAACCTTTTCAGAGTTTAGGCAGTTTCCAGATAAAACTCTTTTAACAAGCTAATTCAGTTTCTTCACAAACTATGAAAATCGGTTCTATGATTCGATGGACCACTTCAAGAAAATTCGCGATAAATTTTCGGTAAAAGAGAGGGCGCAATGCCGGTTTTTGGTAATCACCATATAAGTATCGCATTTATTATGTTTCTGACTGATATTATTTCCTAACATTTTGTAGTGAATTATGAAATCTGATCTGTTCCTTATCAGAAGGGTCGAAATCCCAAAAGAGTGCTGGAATTATTTTTCACGTTTCCAACCAGTCCAATTTGTCACAGCTTTAGAATTTCGAATAAAATTGATAATTACTTATGAACAGGGCTCGGCACAGGTGGCTTACAAGCAAGCTGGATATCGTTTTTGGGACCAATTGGTCCCAAAAACGCCCCTTCTTTTTCCCTTAAGGAAATATCGTTCTTTTTTGGCCGAAAAACACAACTTAGGTTACGTGTCTTATCCAATGTTTCGTTTTTTAAGGTTTTTTACGTTTAAGGTATAGGGTCAAAGGGGACTTCGTAAAATTTTGCGGAAGTCAAGGTGACGTCGTTTTTTGCATTTTCGGAAAGCCAGCTCGTGCCGAGCCTGCCCATAGACTCTGTATAGGAGACACTAGAATATCACCGCATACTTGCTGGCAAAGTGTATATAAATCTCTAAGGAAAATTTTGTCATAGATTGCTCTCGCATTTGATGTTAAATTATACTCGAAAGATGTGTAGAACGTATTAAAATCTAGTACATGAAGCGTAGAGCGTCTGTAGAAAAAAATAAACAAAATTGTATTTTTTCCTCTTTTTTTAACTTGCTGTATTTTATCCCGAAAAATAATGGGTATTGGGTTTTTTAACAATTTGAAACTTATATATAGTAAAGAGATACTACGTTGCTTCAAAAGTGAACTCCTTTAATAAATCAAATTTTATTCGTACCATGTACAGTTTGGAAAAAAAAACTAAAAGTTTCCAACTACCCTGAAAATTTGATCTCCCTTTAGAAATTCTCTGTTCCAACCCGTTCCTCCTATTTGCAGTCAAGTAGACACATAGTAGAAGTCATAAAAATATTTGCATTTTTTCCACGACTTAGAATCAAAAGACAAAAATAGCCTGAAGATGCAAAAATGTCTTTTCCGGTTTTTTTACATGTTAAATTGGCAATCCTCGATTATCAGAGCACATACAGAGGTATAAAATATGCTTAGTAAGATTGGGCAGTAAACAATCATATAGGTGGGAGAAGCTGGGCTATTTTTGTCTCTTGATTCTGAGCCGTGGAGAAAATGGGGGGGGGGGGGGGGTTGCAGTTTTTTAACTATCTTTATATCTCGATTTTAAGCGAGCAAAATTCAATGCATTCATGAATACTACTCTGTATCTTTTGTATGACCAGTATGAAGCCTAACAGAATTTTTTTCTACATAGAATTCATAAGATAGAATTTTTTTTCGATTTTGGCTGAATATTTTACTTGGATTACGAATTAGGTGGATATTTGGTGCTCATTTTGTAGAGCTTGCTTTGCTCTATAGAACAGTATCCCCTCAACCGTTTTGGTTTTCCTAAGCCTCTTAGGAAAACCAAAAAGGTTGATTTATTTGCAGAAGTGGACTTTCGGGACAGCCAAAAACTGCACAGTGTAAAAAGTGCCAGAAGTATAGTAAAAGGCTGGATTCTTAAGAAAGGAATAATTGCAAACAGCAACGAAACGGAACGGCACAGCAGAACTACTTTTGTTTTTGAAGTTCCGAACGTTCGGAGGTGGAGCCATGCCGACCATCGATCACGAACGCTCACAACAACGCGTTTGGGACACCGAAGATCAGCCCCTAGTCGATGGAACGCCGCACAGACACTATACAAAAATATGAAGTACAAGTAAATAGCTAATTGTACTACTCAAAGTGAGGTCTGAACAAATCGTCTTGTCTACTCCCTCTCCTTCAGATCTATGCTGAAGATAAGTTGGAGGCAAAATGCTAGGAATAGGGAGCGCACTCATAGAAAAACACCAGCATACATAGTTGGCCTTACATCGGATCCGGATTCACTAAACTGCGGACGCGATAAAACAGCTGCGGAAATGGCTAGATATTAGGCTGCTACTTATGTTTTGCACCAAAAATTTGGAAACTTCATAGTCTCCTAAATTTCTTCTGATAACATAACAGCAAGACGTATTATCGCCTTATATGATACAAGCTGATGAAGAAAAACACTCAATGATTCTTTTTTTTCATTTTACTGAAATTTCATTTTGATTTTTCTTGTTTTATGATATGCTTACTCATATGCGAGAAACTCGTGCCTATCGGAAGTTTTTACGAACATTTGGGATTTCAAATTTATTAATTTTGATTAATTGATCTAATAATTTAATTTTTATGATAGGATACAACACAGTAACTGATGTGCTTTAGAAATTTTTGAGCATATTCAAATGAATCTTCTATATTTTTGGGCCTGACTTATGCACCAAGCCAATAGTTCACCAACCAGCATACCTGAGCATAGGTATATCTCTTTTTTCTCTGTTCTAGTAGGGATGGATGAGGTATTACTATACTCAAGGGTGGCATTTATTATTTGATTGACTAGCCGGCTTTCCCGGTCCAGCCCGGGTCATCGCTTAGGATGCCCAAACCACACTTTGTCTTTCCTCTTTCCCATCTTTTTTTTGGTTCAGCTATATTCTCCGCCCCCTTTCTGCAGTCTCAATACTGCACTGAAAGCCCCCTGCCCCTTACACTCCTGCATAAACTTACCTCAGAAAGGTTGACTGGAGTGACGCATCTTCTATACTTTAGAATGAAAATGAACTTTACTGCATTGTTTATACCAAATTAGCGATGATAGCGGCTGGTAAGTGTTCATTTTCATTGCAGAGCGCTAAAAATCAATGAGTCAATAGAAAAATTCCTCGAATCCGAAAGGTAACCCTAACATCTACGATGCCAGAAGCATATGTGTGCAAAATTTCAGCTCAATCCGTTCAAGCGCAAAAGAGTCTTTGAAAAACATACGTTCAAGATTTGCACAAACTTTGACTTTTGTATAGCTAAGATTGCTTTATCCACATCTTTTCTTTTGCTTTGACGCACTTTAGAATGTAAGAATAAGTAAATAAATGAGTTTCGAAGGAGACTCGCAAGTCACTCAAGTCGAAATATGTATGAGCATCCAGAATGGGTTCCGTTCCTCGATGTTCTTACATCAAAACTGAAGATTTTATCGGAATCAGGGCTCGGTACGAGCTGGCACTAGCAAATTTCCAAAACGAAGTCCCCTTTGACTTTCCCAAAATTTTACGAAGTCCCCTTTGACCCTCAACGATATCCCCTCTAAAAACCTGAAAAATTTCCCAAAATCCCCCCAAAAACGAAACGTCGACTAAAAAAAAAGGTCGCCAATTTCGCTAATTTTTGACGTGTCTTCGCCCACAAAAACGAAACCCCCTTTGCTTTTTGCCCCAAAAACGATATCCAGCTTGCCCTGTGCCAGCTGGTGCCAGGCCCTGATCGGAATACTTTGAACAAGAGAGAATAGCTCTGGATCTAAATCTACGCAAGTAGGGTTTGAAATTTACTAAGTCCAAAGTTTTGCACTTCGAACATTACGAATCTAGAAAGCTATTCACATTGAAATTCGGTTTTCTTTGATGAGAAGAATGGCTTGTTGTCGTTGTAAGGTTCTGACTGATTCAGTAATTTGAGACATATAAAATACTTGAGTGTACGAGACATGGAGTCCTCTCAGGGAACAGAGGACGTCTATAAATTTAGCATCATGTGCTGTTTACTGGCGGTGAGTGACATCTTCTGCAC